CTATAAACCCCTAAACCCTAAAAACCCTAAACCCCTAAAAACCCTAAACCTTAAACTCCAAAAAACCCTAAACCCTAAACCCCTATAAACCCTAAACCCTAAACCCTAAACCCCTAAACCGTAAACCCCTAGACCCTAAACCCTAAACCTCCAAACCCAAAACCCCAAAGCCGAATCGCTGGAGCCTTGTGCCTTGGGGCTGTTACGCCCCAAGGACTTTTCTAGGAGAAACCCAACTCAACTTAAAGGGCTTTAGGGTTTAGGGTTTAGGGTTTTAGGGTTTAGGGTTTAGGGTTTTAGGGTTTAGGGATTCGGGGTGTTGTCCTTACCATTATGGTACCCTAGCGGAACTAAAGTTTATGTTTGGGGACTGTTATAAGGTTTATAGTACCCCAGACCAGTTGAAGGATACCTACTGTGCTGCTAGGCAAATCAGTTCGGGGCTCTGCAGACCTGGACGACACGCATGCGGCACACGACAGCAGACGTCCATGTGCTAGAACATAACTTACGTTGCCTACCGCATACTCTCAAGCCGAAAACGCTGAACAACACCTAGACGTCAAACGCCTAAACACGACAACCTATATAGCTCCTAAGCTCTATCCCGAGAACCCGATTGCTTCGTTTTCCATTCGGCTCACCATGCACTTGAGGTTCCGAGGTGAGACTGGATAGGGGCTGCACGGGTGCGGGCTTTCTGCGGGCCTTAAACGTCCTGATGGGGGCTGACTCTAGGGTGCCTAAGGCTTAGAATGGGGGCTTTCGGGCATACCACTGTATATTCAGGAACCCGCAGGAAATAAGTAATACTATTGTTGAGGCTCTTGCACTACTGGTTGTGGATGGGGGTTTAGGGTTTTGGGCCTGAGGTTTAGGGTTCAGGGCGAGCTTCCGGACAGGTTTGCCTTTCGGGTGTGCCCGCAATGAGTATTGTAAAGCGGACGTTATTGAGACCTCCATATTGCATGGAACTTGCTGGTGGCACGGCCCAAGCGATATTATTGGAGGTGCCGGCTTCATGTGGGTACTCCTTGGGGACATGCTTCAGGGTTGCCGGCCCCTAGACCCTAAACCCTAAACCCGGGTGCTTTTTCGGGGTGTTGGTCCAACTTGCGCTCAGCACAGGTCTCAGTTGGCGCGCCCGGGCTGCCTCGGAAAGGAGCAGGCAGTTTGTCATAAGACTTACGGTTCAGGGTTTAGGCTTTACTTATCATGCTCCAGCTCACTGACATAGCCGGAATAATGATGGCTGTTCTATTCAGCATGAGTCCCACAGCAAAAAAGCGACAACACTTGTAATGTTCCTGTTCTTACTGGCCATGACCAGAGCAAAAAGAAAACAGCTCGATGGGAAACAGCGTCATGTGAGGGAGTGGCTAGTCAGAACAGCTTTGTTCGCCGGTTATATATATATATATATATGTACATACATATACACATGTATATATATATATATATACATGCACATGTTTATTTACTTACAAGCAGGAACTTGAAGGAACCATAATGGTTCACAGCCCCGAATGACACCAGCCAGTTCCTTGGTTGATGTTCCTGCCTGCTGACGAACGCACAGTTACCCCTAGGCCCTAAAGCAGTGCCTTTTGGGGTTCATGTTTAGAATCCTATAAGTTAATCCCCAAAAGGAACTACTATGGGGCCTATAGGTACAGCTGATTTCGGATCTCTGTGATGTAAGCTTCTATCGGCCCCTTGGACCAGTTGCGTGGATCGTCCACCGAAGCATGTTGGCAAGCCCTGACAAGAGGGCCCCAAACCCCACACCATGAGCCATAAACCCTAAACCTTGAAGGGCAGGGAAACCTATGCCTATTGTATTAGTATTCTGAGCATTAACAGTACTATTTACTATTAGTATCAGCACTATTACCATTATTAGTCGTATTAGGATACATGCTGTAAGTAATATTGGTAGTAGGGTTAGTACTGTTACTACTATTGTTACTAGTACTGTTGTCAATGCTGGTATTATTCCTAGTACTATCATTGTTATTCGCATCGTTATTTCTACCGTTTGGTCATTGTCATTATCATGGTCTTTACTAACGTAGTTCTGACTTTGCTGATGACATACCACCATAGTGTTTACCGATATTACGATTACTACTGTTCTACCATGATGGTTGCTACTGTTACCATCATAACTAACTATTCTTGTAATGATACAATTACTACCATTATGTTTTACTATTAAACCCTAAACCCTAAACCCGAAGCCCTAAACCCTAAACCGTAAACCCTACTATTATTTGTGTTGTTGCCAATGTCATTCTTATGAACGGCTAGCCATGGCCAACAGCTCTTTGCTTTCGGCACCTCTTGGCGCCCTTTTGGCCGTGAGACAGTCGATGCGTAGATGCAGTATAGAACAGGGCGCATGTCAGCAATAGGGTAGTATATGGATCAGCAGTCGCATAAGGGGCCTTTAAAATATGAACAGGGCCTTGGGAGTTCGTATACTATAGTTACTATAACAATTCGACAGAGATTCCCTGCCAACGCAAGTTACGCAAGCTGCTTGGCAGCACAACGCCATCCAAACTCGGTCCGAAATCCTCCCCGAAGGTCAGAGTCTGAAGGCCGCTTGGCAGCGCGACGCCTTCCAAGCTCTGGTCAAACAAGGTCAAGGTCTCCAAACTACTTGGCAGAGCCAGATCTTTCAAAGCCTGGTTGCAACACCTGCCAAAGGTCAAGGTTTGCAGGGTGGATGGAAGCGTGACACCTCCCAACGCTTGATTGAAATCCCCGCCGAGAATCAGTTTCCGAAGGCTCTTTGGCAAGAATACTCCTTCCAAGCTCTGGTCAAAGTTGTCTCCCAGGATCAAAGTCTGCAAAGTGCTCGGCAAATCGATGCCTCGCAGGCTCTGGTTGAAATTATAGCCGAAAGCCAGCGTCTCCAAGGCCGGTGGAAATGCGAAGCGCTCCAAGCTCAGGTTGAACTCGCTTCCAAATGCCAAAGTCTGCAGGCTACTTGGCAACACGACCCCTGCTAAGCTCGTCTTGAACTCCGTGCTAAGCTCCAGAGTCTGCAGTCTACTTGGCAGCATCACGCCTTCCAGGCTTTGGTCGAAGTCATGACCAAATAACAAAGTTTGCAAGCTGCCTGGCAAGGCGACACCCTCCAAACTCTGGTTGAACTCCCAGCCAAACTCCAAAGTCTGGAGGCCACTTGGAAGCTCCACATCTTTCAAGCTCTAGTTGAAGAACTCCCCAAAGATCAACGTCTTCAGACTGCTGGGCAGCATGATACTTTCTAGAGGATCGTTGAAATTACTGCCAAAAGTCAGGGTCTCTAAGCTGCTTGGGAGCTTCGCAGCTTGCAGCTGCTCCTTGGAATGATTGCCCAAAGTCAAGGTATGCAAACTGCCTGGCCACGTAATGCCTTCCAAGCTCTGGCAAAACTGGCAGCCAAAAGTCAAAACTTCGAGGCTGCCCGGCAGCATTACATCTTCCAGGCTCTGGTTGAAGGCCTCACCAAAAGTCAATGCCCGCAGACTGCTTGGCAATGCAACGCCTTTCAGACTTTGGTTGAAAAAGTCGCTGAAGGTCAACGTCTCTAAGCTCTGTGGAAATGTGACGCCTTCCAAGCTCTCGTTGAAGGCCCTGCCAAGACTCAAAGTCTTGAGGCCTTCTGGCAAAGCAACACCTCTCAAGCTCTTGTTGAAACGAGCCCCCAAGGTAAGAGTCTGCAGGCTGCTCGGCAACGAGACACCTGCCAATGTCTGGTTGAAATCCGCCCCGAACTTCAATGTCTGCAAGCTGCTTGGCAGGGTGACCTTAGCTGCTGAGTTCATAGACACCCCCCAAAAGCTGTGCAGTTTCAGTTCTATGATAGGGAGAAAATATTATCCCAAAGAAAGTGTGTACTCATTCAGCTGCTTCGTTACTCCTTCCAAGCTCTGGTTGAAAGCCCAGTCAAAGGACAAGGTCTCCAGGCCTTTGCTGAACTCGGCACCCTCGCAAAGATTGTCATTTCAGCTGGATTCTCAGGGATTGTAACAACCAACACTTAGAAAACACGTCCCAAGTACCCCTAAGAGGCTGTTGGGGAGCTGCACGCCACGCAAACTCCGATCGAATTCGGCGCCCAGGTTCAATACCTTCAGGCCGTCGGGCAGCAATGCATCCTCCAAGCTCTGGTCCTTGGTTGCTGGGTTCATTTAGGGTTTAGGGTTTAGTGTTTAGGGTTTAGGGTTATAAGGCCCAAACCCCCCCAAAAAGTCTACACCTTCAGGTCTATAGGGGATCCCTTCTATCCCAAGAAGTGTCAAGTGTACCCATGCAGCGAAGGATCAAAATGAACACCGAAGGTCATAGTTTCCAAGCCCATTGGAAGCCTCACGCCTTTCAAGCTCTTGTTGAAATCAGAGCCCAACGTCAATTTTTTCAATCTGCTCGGCAAAGGGATATCTTCCAAGCTCGCGTTGAAGCTGTCGTCAGTGGCCAATGAGGATACCGCATCGATTGCGCTCAAATCTGCCGCGCTCAAGCTCGTCGTTGACGCCTCGTTTACGGCTCGCTGGAAACTCCTTACAGCCTGGTAGGGACTGATCTGCTTGACGACGAAACTGACTTCACGAGACTCGACTTGTTCCAGTACCGGTAGGGACTCATTCAAGACGCTGCCACCAGAAGTCAGCACCAAAGTGCTGCTTGGTTTCATCTCGATCATCTCCGCGATTTGCTTGGAGACATCTGCAACAGTTGTAGCATCGTCAACTGGAAGCTGAAACGTCGATCCGTCCAAACCCTGTATGTGCAAGGAGTTTACCACCCCGGGCCCGTCAGCATGGGATCGCGCTCGCTTCTCCTGTGCTACCAGCCTCGGCTATAAAGGTTTGGGGTTCAGGGTTTAGGGTCCGAGGACAAGAAAGGCTGGAGGAGACACCTGAAAGAGACAACAGCCGTCCCGAACATCATCTCAACAAGCCACATTCATCTGCCTCGACATTTCTGGGAAATCCAAAGACTAGGAGATAATGTAGGGGCCTTGATAATTAGAATAGGGTTTTGGGGCATGATATACTATAATCATAATAAGGAGCCTCTAAAGTAGTATAGGCAATCATTAAGGCCCCTATAGAAATCCTCTGAGGCCAAGAGGCCTCTGGGCTGTAGCAAGAACCTCTTCGGCGCGCTCGAGATCTTCGCTGATGAACTGCTGCATGGTGGATTCATCCAGGGCGGCCGATGCACCCGCACCCATGGCAGTGAGTTGTGGAAGTGAAATCCACTGATGATGCGGATGTCAGTTGTGCAAATGACTGCAAATGATTCCTGGATTGCCATTGATTCTGCGGACTAAACAGGATGTGTGAGAAAATCCGAACACCTTGGGGTCTGGCTCTTGAGACTGTGCAAGGTGTAAGCGTGCGCAGCACGGGAAGTCTTCGAGACGTGAAACGGCAACCGTTAGCGATTAAAGGTCTGATTCGGGTAAAGCGCCGCGGGCCTACCAAGACACCAAGGACGGCACAGAAATAAGCATCTGGAAACATCAAGTCTTTGGAGCTTGTTGACCTCCTACATTCGGTTCTTCCTCCACCAAGACATCAACAAGCCAAACCATCTCCATACCCAGCCTCGCCCTTCAGCCTAAATGGAAACAAGATGCGGTATGCTGGCTACGGTGGCTCTGAAATAAGATCATGATGCAAGAATTAGACGTAGGTGCAGGTCACCGGCACTATAGACGACCTGCATCCAACTTTTCCTTGCTAGCAGGTTCTTAAGACTATAAAGCCTAAACCCTAAACCCTAAACCGCGCTGCAAGAAGCCCTTGACACTGTTTCAAGCCGAGCGGCTTCAACCGCCCTGGAGAGACAGGAAAGCAAAGCCATGGCGGTGGCACTGACAGAAATCTAAGGTTAGAAGAATGGGCCCCTGACATGGACCCTTAGGCCTTTCTAGGGACCCTGAAGGGTACATACAGAGTATATAGTAGGTATGTAAGGATCCCACCCTCCAGGGCGCATACTAGGGGTCCATGGCTTCAACCTTAGAAGTAATGTAGGGGCCTTAATGATTAGAATAGGGCTTTTGGGGTATAGTTTGGTATACTCATAATAGGGAACCCCTGAGAAATTAGAACAGAGTCTTATGGTAGATTATGGTAGACTTGTGATACGGACGCCTAGGGAGCAATATTGGTAATAATTGAGGCTTCTGTCCTAAACCCTGAACCCTAAACCCTAAACCCCTAAACCCTAATCCCTAACCCTAAATCCCTAAACCCTAATCCCTAAACCCTGAACCCCTAAACCATAGTCCCTAAACCCTAAACCCCTGAACCCTAATCCCTAAATCCTACTTCCTAAACCCTAAACCCCTAAACCCTAAACCCCTAAACCCTAAACCCTAAAGGATTCTGTAGCAAACGTGGGCAGCCGGTCGACCTCCTGCTCTATACTCCTTCCCTTGCGGAGCAAGATGCGGATGCGGTCATGGGTTTAGGGTCGGTGTAAGGAGTAGGGTTTAGGGAGTAGGGTTTAGGGTTTAGGATTTCAAAGGCCCTCGAGAGGTATCTCATACGCCCCTGAACCCTAGGCGCCCAACCCCTCGCTCACTCCCCCAGGGTTACCCTGATCTATTCTTCAGCATTCCTTCAGCAACCGTCACAACAAACAAGACTCTCCTTTACAATCCTAGAAGGTACCGCGCTTTTGAGACCTTTAAGCTGAAACCTTAAACCTTATGCAGACACCTGGAGGAACCGTGTTCTCATCAGTAAGCCCCTCTATACTAAGCCTCTCTAGATCCCGTCGTAGAGCCCTGTAAGGGAACTCTATTCCAAGGCCCGAAACCCTAAACCCTTCAAAGGAACCCTACTTGGAGGATCATGGGACTTAGTAAGTAAGGGTATAAGTCCCTTAATTGGGGTTATAAGTTATAAGTATAGATACCCTAATTATAACCCTACTTACTAAGTCCCATGATCCTCTAAGCACCCCACTGAACAACGAGGGGTCCCTCTTTAAGGGGGGCCCTGAATAAAACGAGGATCCCAGAACCAAGGGCCGATCTTGGGGTCCTCGGCTGTCTGTGAGAGGCATGAGGCCTTTAAGTAGTCCTCTAAAAGAGAGTAATGGGCCCGAAGCAAATCGCGGCGTCTTTTCGATTTTCTGAAGAGAGACACCGTCCCGCTCCGGCCAATGGTCTGGAGGTGCACCTGCCAAAGCTCCATTTTCCTGGGATTGCTGGGTTTAGGGCTTTTAGGGTTGAGGGTTTAGGGGTTTAGGGTTCCGGGTTTGGGGTTTTAGGCGTTCGGGGTTCAGGGTTTAGGGGTTTCGGGTTTAGGGGTGTAGGTGGGATTGCTTGGAGGCTCATGGGTAGTTTTATGGGTCTGGTGGCTTCACATATCCTGTTTATAACCCCCAAGTGGGTCTTAGGGATGTTAGGGTATTTAGGGTTTTATGAATCTTGCAGGAGGCTTGGGTGGAGGATTTAGGTTTCGTTCAGGATTTAGGGGTTGGGGTTATGTGCTTAGGGCTTCGCAGGGCTTAGGGGTGCAGTGATAGGTATCTCCAGAGGAGGTTTTGAGGAAATGAACAAAACTCCCCAAACTCGCGCTACTAGATTCTAGTGTGACGGCTTGAACACTTGGACTAGTGTACAGGCCTCTCTGATGTCGATCGTGCTTAGGAAATCATATTACACTATATGCATATAGGAACGATAGGGGAGACTATTATTCGGGCCTGGGAACCCGAAGACACCCCATCACGAAACCCTGACGCATACTCTACTATGAGATACGGTTGCATAGTCAGCAACACTAAACCCTAATCAGCCCTAATGCTGTAGGTACCTTCCCCATAGGGTTTGAAACCCTGTGTTCTAACTCGATCCGTTCATTTCTTCTTCGTGTGCTCTTGCTACTCATCTAGGAAGTCTAGGTGTCCTGTAGGGCTTGACAGGCTTCTGCAGGGTGTAGGGCCGGCAGCCCTACAATCCTTAGGTCTCAGGTCTTCGGGTTTAGGGTTTAGTTACAGGCCTTCTGGTGGCTTCATATTCCCCTCATGGGACCTTTAGCAAAACGACCCCAAACCCCAATAAAAACCCTACAGCCGCCTTTCAAAGCTCGTAGAAGCCGTACATATAGATTTCCACATTGCCCCAACAGAAGGCCCTAAACCCAAGTACTAGACCAACACCCTCACAAAAGCCTGCCGACCCACCGAACCCGCACAAGTTCCTTCCAGGACCTTCCAAAACATAATGCACAACAAAAAGGCCTAAACCATTAAATATAAGGCCACTATGGTAAAGAGTAGCACCTGGTCCTAAACCCTAAACCCCTAAACCCCCTAAACCCTAACAACCCTAAAAACCCTAAAACCCTAAAGGCACTAAAAACCCTAAAGGCCCTAATACGCCTAAACACCCCAATAACCCAAAAACCCTAATAACACCAATAACCCTAAAAGCCCTAAAAAAACTAAAAACCTGGCACGCCAGGAGGCTCGGAGATTGGCCGGTGCTCGTCCTTGCAAGGAGCATAGCGGAGGCTTCAGGCTGAAGGGCAGTCAAAAAGCGTGCCCTAAGAGTTCAAGTAGGGTTTAGTGTCTAGGGTTTCTATAAGCCGAGAAGGGTACCCTCTGTAAGGGTACCCTTATACGGGTTCAATCAGGGTTTTGGGTTTGGGGTTTAGGGTTTCTATAAGTCAAAAAGGGTACCCTAAGGGTTCAATTGGGGTTTTAGGGCTTAGGGTTTCCATAAGCCTATAAGGGTACCCCAGGGTTTAGGGTTTAGGGTATCGTAAGGGTTCCATAAGGAATCCATAAGGGTACCACAAGGGTTCCACCAGGTTGTAGGGTCTACGCAAGGGTTCGAAGAAAGGGCTCTTAGAAGGGTAATGTAGGGGCCTTAACAATGGGAACAGGGTGTTGGGCTCCTTTATAGTATAACCATACTAAGGAATAAAAGTGGTTACTTAGGCTTCTACATTACGCTGAGCTGAGTGGAGCCGAGGGGCCAGCATGAGCCTCGGGTCCACGAGCAGCGTGTCGAAGACGTGGCTGTTCAGCAAACACTCGCCGTCAGCGTACCTGAAAACTCTGGGGGGGGGGTTCCTTTAAGGGTTCCTTCAAGGGTTCTATAGGAATACCATGATCGGGTCTCTTGGGCTAAGGCTGGAGGGCTGTAGCCTTCTTGATACTTTCAGGGTTGACTGCAACACAGGGGTTCTGTAGGGGAGCTTAGAACTCCATTTCTCACTTGTAATATCATGTTCCCTGAACCTGAAATCGTACACCCAAAACGCCTAATCCTCACGCGTACCAACCTTTCCATTCAACCAAACTGGTTCCATTCGACCAGGGTTGCGGGTTTGGGGAAATTTCCTTTTGGGGCAACAGGGAACGTCCTCAGAGCTTGGTTTTAGGGTTTAGGGTTTAGGGCACCGTTACAAACCCAAACACTTCCAACCCAAAGCCAGAAAATCCCAACCCTAAAGCCCTAAAAAAAGGGGCCAGAAAAGGGTTTTGGGGCCCACTATGCTATTATTACACTGTTGAGAAGCCTGCTTTCGAATCCAACATCGATCAGCTTGGTCACGTCTGGATTCTAGTCGTGGCGTTCAGGGCCCGGTTTCGGTTTCGGGATTGATGACTTTGCAAAGCCGCAGGTACTGCCGTAACTAAGGGAAGAGGAGCGTGACCATAACCCCAATCTCTGAACCCGAAACTTAAAACCTTAAAGAACTAACACCATAACACCGTACAAACATTACTATAGAGGCCTTATAGGGTTTGAGGGTATAATATACTATAAATACAATAAGGAACCCCTATTCTATTTATTAAGGCCCCTTCATTACCCTCGCGGTCTGGGGCGAGGTTTCCCGGTAAGCCTTTAGCAAATCAGGGTCCGCTTTGTCCTGCTAGTCAATGAGCTATGATAGCAAGCCGTGTAGCGTTTACCTTACTGTCCTTACTTTGATTTAGGGTTGCTAGTAACTTGTGTAATGAATTAAGGAAACTTTAACTAGACCCAAAGACTCCAAAACCCCTTCACCGGCGCAATCTGGGTAACTCTCAAAATCAGGGTCTCTTTTGGGGAAATCCTGTCTAACTCTACGTACCCTTCCTACGGCATCATATAGTTTGGGAGAAGCTCATCTAGAGAACGGTCATATATCTAGAACCAGACCAGGCAGACCAGGTTCCTTCGTGTGTGTTTGAAATATTCTCGTGAAATCAAGGCGG